CATCATTAACACACATTCACACAGCCTATGGTACCGACTTGGGGTTCAGCGTCCTGCCTGTTGTAGTACTCGAGATCGGTCTTTGTCTCAAGACCACTTTTTAAAGGTCTCGGTCTTGCCTCTGAATCAAAAAATGTTTTACTCGTTCATGTCTCGATCTCAGACTGGGCGGACTCCAGATTTTAAATCAAGACCACCACGGACGGTCCCTGACCTTCCGGTTGAGAGACAACCAACTCCAACAGAGCCACAGCCATACCTTATTCAACATGATGATCATTTAAAGCTAACAGGTTTACCCTCCTAGTTACTGATTATTGAGAGTCAGTTAGGAAGTTGTTGAACATGAATTATTATCTTTATACAATCTTTTTATCTGATTAGTTTGGCCCTTAGTTTGGTAGAAGTAAACAAAATAAAAAACAAGATCATAATTCATGTTAAACAGCTTCCTAACTGACTATCAATAATCAGTAATTAGTAGGGCATTGAGGGGAAACTCTTAGTTAATGACCTGTCAGCTATAGATGATTATCATGTTGAATAAGGCATCAATAAGGGCTTATTAATGTCTAATAAGCAGCCAGTATGCTACTAGTTAGCATGCTAATAAGCAGCTAGTTAATGGTGAATATTGTGGCCTTAATTTAAAGTGTTAAAAAACATTATACTGAAAAGATTCACTTAATATTGAAGCCTATTTTTCCTGCAGTTAATTACTAAAAGAAGAATTTAAGAAATTCATAGTGCAGGTGTAAACAAATAAACAAAAGTGTGGAAGTGAAGTCTTTACTTGGTTCTTCTGTTCTTGCTTCTGGTGCGTCAGAGACTCTTCTCTCTCCTTCTCCACCCGTAGCTGTCGGGCCTGTTCCAGCATCCGCTGATGGCTGGCCACTGACTCCACCTAGTGGATTCACAGAGTCATTTCAGAATTCTCAGCAGCAGGCTTCACACGGTCAGCAGAAATAACCAAGCGTCTCTAACAGAGTCAGCTTTCACTCGTTGGCAAAGGCCAACAAGAAAGAGCCGTCAAATCAGCACCTCATTGCACAGCCTTGCTGAGGCAGCTTTCCAGCTTGTCAGATTCCTGTCAGGTTTTAAATGAGGAGCTGATAATTTATGTTTGGGGTCATGTTTTCATTCCTCAGAGGTCTAAAGCCTGTCAAGCATTAGACGCCTGAGAGGGCCCTCTGTGAACGGCTCTGCCTTACCCTCTTCTTCAGTCTCTCCACACGTTTGATCAGCTGGTCTTTCTCCTCCTCCATGGAGCCGATGTCCTGTTGTTTCAGAGGAATTATTTGAACCAGTTATTTAAGGGGTAATAATCTTTACATTAAGACAGTAAAAAGGAGAATAAATCATGTCAGCATGTGACAGCTATACACCTAGCAAAGCCTGGCACTACAAATATGCAATAAATAGTGATGTAATCTTGACCTTTCTTATTTCTGCTGTGGAGAAGCCTGACGTCCGTAACTGCTCACACTCCTTGTGATATGTCTTAAAGCCTTCCACCAGCTCTTCATACTGGAACATTAACATGAACACATAGTCTGTTAAGCCTTTTAAAAAACAATCATTATTATTCAAACTATTATTGATGTATGGAGAACCTGGTGATAGGTGTCGTTGATAACATCATCCTGCAGGAACTCTGCAGGCACTTCCAGTTTGACTAGATATCGAGCCAGATACGCCCGCTTCTTGAGCTCAGGAAGCCGCTGGAGCAGCCAGTGGAGGATTGGATGAACCACAGGCTTATTGCCCGTCACCAGACCTTGTCTAAAGCTGCTCCTGCATTAGAGAAGGGAGCACATCATGATGAGACACAGACAAACACAATGATGGATGAGTTATAGGATTTAAAAAATGAATGACAATGAGAGAGGCTCCCGCACACTGTCTCGCTTTATTTCCGACAAATGTATTCAATCATACAGCGTTTCGGTCTAACTGACCTTCATCATGGCACTGAGAAAACATGACCATATATACAACCAAAGAGACCGCCTCAGTTTTCAAACAGCCAATCAGAGAGCCACTGAGATTGATGATCACCTGAAGCTGCTCACCCTGCATTCATGTGGTGTCAGACACATCGGAAAAACAAGTCTCAGAGTTTGAAAATTCACATGAACGCCTGCTCAAGTCAGAACTATGACTCTGGAACTCAGGAAGGAATAAGATGCCTGATTCGTCATCCACATGGCGGGCAAAAGAGGTTTTGTTAATGTTAAGATACTTCTTATTAATTCACACATTGCACGTCAACTTCTTGATCAAATATAATTCATAACAGAGACATGACACACACCATCTTCTTTGTAGCATCCACGCTGTTTTTTCCTGTTGTTACAACATTCAGACTTTCAGAACTGAAAACACCTGAACACACTGAAGTCAGAAGAACGACTTCCCAGCTTTTAAACTGGGACCATCCGAGGAGCACCTGAATGCAGCGTAAGTGCAGACAGGGAAGATGTATTCTATTATACGTGAGGGCAAATTACATTTTAAGCCGTTGTTAAACATGCTACTCACATAGGCTGAAAATACCAAACACGTACAAACAGGACACATGCACTTGCACTAATTGGGAGGGGGGGGCTGCCCACAGCGAGCACACCTGAGATACCTCGGCAGTGCTCAGGAAGTGAACTGGTACCTCTCCAGCTCCCAGACCAACCTCCATATTATGGTCGCCACCGGGACTTGAACCAGCGACCCACCAAAGTCCCTACAGACTGAGCTACTGCCGCCAAAGGTCATGATCAAGGTTTATGATAAAGCGCAATAAATGTTGATTCATTTAACCTTATACCCAAATTGAAAAGTGAGTGTCATCACACCAGCCTGTGATAGATTCAAACTTATAAAAAGTCACTTAACAAGAATGTTTGAATAAATATCAAAGGGCAAAAAATCCATAATGTCATCGATTATCATACATCAAATACATGTTTCCCAACGAGCTTTAATAATCAGTATAAAGACTTACACATCAGAGAGGTTTCCAGGAGGTTTGTACTTCAGCATGCCCAGCAGAGAGCACATCCTCTTCACTGTCTGCTCAGGCATTTCCTCACGGATGTCTATAGCTTGCTAAAGAAAGGAGTTAGCAGTGTAGTGATTAATAAATGAACTGTACTGTTTGTTACAGTCTGACTACATGATGTAAAGTCTCACGGCACACCTTGGGGTCTATTTCAGCCAGGGCGTCGTTTAAAACCTGCAGCAGCTGCATCGGGTCCAGAGAGTCAAACGTGATGAGGTTAAAGTTCTTCTTGAATGGATCCTTGTTCAGCTGCTCAACGATGAACTTGAGCTGTTCACTCATCTTGTTCAATATTAAACTTCCTTGCTGTACGTGAATCAGTGGGTTAGCCAGCTAACCTACGTTAGCGCCTAAAAAGAATCCGGTACAAACCGATTTATTTGGCCGGCAGGTGACGCGGGAAAACAACGTTTAAAAAAAATATAAATACAAATGTAGATTAGATTTGTTTGTCCGTCTTTTAAATGCTTCGACTTCCTAGTTAGCGTACAGAGAGGTAACCATAGCCTGTAAATACTAAGGAGGTAACGCTGGTTGTCAAGGGCCCCATGGAAACCAAGACGGTGGATTGGTTGCTAACCGGAAGTAGCTTCGACAGTACGTTCGAGGAAGTTATGTTGCGTGAATGATGCGCATACTTCCTGAATATCTAAACTCTCCCGATTTCACCAAAAGCAAAAGAAACTTGTACCTTTGTAATGAATTCCTAAGATAAAGATGTAATATTGAAAAAAAACCCTGTATGTTCTGTGATGGTGAAATTGATTCAAAAACATTTATTTTATTTGAATTTACAAAAACTTTTTGGGATTCATTTCAAAATTGGATATCTGCAAAAGACTTAAATTCTCCAAATTTAGAATATATCAGAATAAAATTCGGCATTTTAATGAAGGACAGAAAAAAGGGGAAAATTAATAATAAAAAATACATACACATACATCCCTGTAAAATAATAAATTATGTTAATAAGTCCCACATTTAATTAATAGACTTATTATTTGTAGCTGTGAGGGAGAAACTTTGAACATCTTTTTGCAGATTGTTTTTAAGTCACTGCGTTTTGGTTTGATTTAAAAAAAAATAGGGAAAATATAAAAATAACAAAAAATAGACAGAAATGTTCAGTAAGTCTAATTTCCCAACAAATAATTAATTCTTAATTAATTAATCTCTTATTTTAGCTCAGTATTACTTACATTAAATGAAATGCGGTGAGACTTTTCTTTAATGGTGCGTTTAAGACCCCTGAAAAGAATAGTTGTTCTAGCCTACCAACCTCTACTTCGTCTTCCATGCGGACAGAAGTAGAGACCTGAAAACAACACCTTTCTGGACCAAATTTGTGACGTTCACTTCACGGTGAGAGGTGTCTTTGCCTTTAAAGAGCGTCACCCCCCCCCCTCATAAAAGCATAAATTTGCTGTGACGTTTTTTGACCATTTCTCGGGATACGAATATCCTCTTGTCGTAATCAGCTTTACCTGGAAACTGTTTTGGATCAGAAACAACATTTTGATTAAAAACTTTTTTTTCTTCTTCATTTTTTCGGAGTGTAAGCCCTAAATCAGATCCGTGTAGCCCCTCCCCTTTCTGCTGACGGAGAGCCAAAACAGCAGAGAGAGAGCTGCGAGTCAGTCTGACAGCACACTCAGAGGAAGACACAGGATCTCCAGAGAGCAGGCGAGCTCAACACAGGACCCAGAACAACGAGGATCAGGAGGAACTCTCGGTGTTTGGGGTTATGGAGTAAACAGACTGGACCAGTGGTGTTGCTCCTGAAGGATTTATTTTCTTTGGTTTGTGAGTAAAAAGACTCTAAACTTCTTTTCCTGGACAACACTTGTGTTTTAAAGCACCATGGGAGCTTCACAGTTAAGTACTATGGAAATATGCATGTTTGTGTTTGCTGGTTGATTGACTGGTTTTCTCTGAATCCACAACAATGGTTGAACCGGTGGGGTTTGTGGAGGCGTGGAGAGCCCAGTTTCCTGAGTCTGCCCCCCCTAGCATGGACCTGAACTCAACGGGGGACATCGAGCAGGAGCTGGACAAATGCAAGACGTCCATCCGACACTTGGAGAAGGAGGTAAACAAGGAGCGCTTTCGGATGATCTACCTGCAGACTCTGCTCGCCAAGGAGAGGAAGTCCTACGATGGGCAGCGGTGGGGGTTTAAGAGGGCGCCCAAGATGAGTGATGGAGACCCGTCCAGTGGGCAGGACGGCCACAAGTCGCCCACAGATGAGACACCAGTGGAGGAGCAGCAGAGAAGGACGAGCAGGTCAGTCAGATGTAAACCACATCCAGATGGAGATGTTGATGATTCATCCCCTGCTAAACAGAGAGGTGGGACATCACCGGTACGTCAGGAGGCAGAGATCCCTGACTTCCCCCTGGGTCCGGGCTCTGTGGCCGCTCTGAGGAACAACTTCGAGCGCATCAGGAGAGCCAACACTCACACGGCCGCCGACTGTCGAGGGCTGCCCGTCACGGGGAACCAGGAGAAACCGTTCTACGTGAACATGGAGTACCATCACGAGCGAGGACTGGTCAAAGTCAACAACAGGGAGGTGTCGGACAAGATCAGCACCCTGGGATGTCAGGCCATGCAGATGGAGCGGAGGAGATCCCCGCACTCCCTTCCTGGGAACCTGTCCGCCGCTGCCATGGGGAACATCGGCAGGTCCGTTCAGAGAGGGAGATCCATCGAGGGGAACTGCGGCCACAACGGGTCATGTCAGGACGGCGAGGTCAACCCTCACTTCCTGAAAGACAATGCCAAAGACACACAAAGACAATGCCAGCCTTACACCAGTGTGTATGTTGGGGGGATGATGGCCGATGGGGACACTCGAGTCATCCACATTAAGGACCACAGCATCGAGGAGGACGCTCACCTCACCTGGCCGAGGCGCTCCTACTCCCCCGGTAGCTTCGACGACGTGGGCGGAGGCTACACGCCGGACTGCAGCTCCAACGAGAACTTAACCTCCAGCGAGGAGGACTTCTCCTCGGGTCAGTCCAGCCACGTTTCACCCAGCCCCACCACCACCTATCACATGTACCGCAACAAAAGCCGCTCGCCCTCCCAGCAGTCCTTCGACAGCAGCAGCAGCCCGCCCACCTCCCTGTCTCAGAGCCGCCTGAAGCAGCAGGTGACGGTCTCAGAGGCTGCCATCGTTGGGGTTCGTAAAACGGGCCAGATCTGGCCCAGTGACGGGGACTCCACCACCTCCAGCAGGACGTCTCAGGACAACAGTGTTCAAGGAGATCTGGGTAAGAGAGTCACTGCACAGTACACACATCACCTCCAGGATCAAAACACAAAGATGTTCTATGATTAGAGATGATTTAGTATAAAAACATATATACCCTCATAAGGACCTCACACACTGAACACACACCTTTATGTTTTGGTTTATTTTGCTCTTCTAAATGTGATCCTGTGACTTTTTTTAGTGGGTTTCAGGAGGTTAACTCGAGGGCTTGATTATCAATCAATCAAACTTTATTTGTTCAGCACTTTTCATACAACAAATGCATCACAAAGTGCTTTACATCAACATTTAATCAAACAGCAACAACATGACTCCCCCACCCCTATCCCACAATCCAAAAACTAAGGTCTAAATAACTAAATAAGAAACGTAATGAGGAAACGCTATCATTTATTCTAAATGAGGAAACACAGGAGGTTCAAAATGTAATAAAACTATAAAATGAGATTTAGTTAAAAGCTCTACTAAAAAGGTAGGTCTTGAGTTTGCTTTTAAAAATGTTTACATCATGTTCTGCCCTCAATAAGATCATCTTAAAATCAATTCTAAAACAAACAGGTAGCCAGTGCAGAGACTTTTTTGGTGCAAAGTGTTCCAGAAGAAAAATAGGCCAGTGTGATGAAATTAATCTTTTGTCTTTAATGAGACTATAATTTGATCTCCTCACATGCTGAGTGTGTCGGCAATGTGTGAAGCCATTCCAGATAAGCATGAGCAGCTGTTGCACAATAAGGCCTGAGCAGGTTTCAGTAAATCTGCAGGGAAACGCTCAGGATTTACAGGATGGTAAACACTGTGCTTTCCACTTCTTTCACTTGTGTTTTCTTTGCCCTTTGTGTGCGCGGGTCCTCTCTCTCTCTCTTTCACCCTCTTTCTGCTCTTTGCTCACTGAGTGCCCTCTTACAGAGATGCTCTGCCTGAGACAGCGACTGCCCCCCAGGCTTCCCCGGTCGCTCGGCCCTGTCCACCCTGAGTGTTTTCGCGTCAGCACACATCAGTGTTGTAGTCCTCGCTGCCGAGTAATTAACTTAAAGGGTTTTGTCTAGTGTGATACATTCAGGGAGGGCTCTTTGTTGTGGGAGGCGAGGAGGAGAAAGCCCTGACAACTCACTCAAAAAGAAAAAAAAACGAGGATCGAGGGGCTCAAAGTGTGTCATGCAGCTTCCAATCAAAGCCATCGGTGTTTCCTGTTGTTATGTGTGAACACAATAGGAGAATCACTCACTGAGCACCAGTATTGACATGTTCACAATATAACAATGTTAAGTGGGATAAGCTGAGTGTTCCTCTGTTTGTCAAACTCTGTGGCACTCGAGGACACGTATTGACGCCGCTCCACGCCAAAGAGGACTTTAGGATCCTGAGCGTGTTTTAGGATTGGAGCTGGACACAAAAAAATGTCAGTTTCTGCCCCCTGACAGAGAGTGTGTTATCCAGCGCGGGTCAGATTAAGCAGATGAGCAGAATAGTGTGTTGTTATATAAGATGATCCAGTCCAAAGCTCTCTGACACAAAGCATGTGATAAACAAGCAGATCGTCCATGATATAACCAGCACGCTGCTCGCATGACTGAAGGCTTTCAAACCCCTTTGACCGTCTGCCATTTGTTACCCCCGTCCCGTCAAAATAATGTCACTCACAGTCTCGGGGCCTTCTTGTTTTTAGCTGAGCAGACAAATAAACTCAGAGCAGATTTCACTGACACAGAGTCAGAAGCTGTGGGACAGAAGAAGTGACTTATTGTTGTTCAGGGGACACGAAATGGACTGAAGGAAAAATAACAGATGGAGGGAGGGACTTTCTGACTCTTTTAGTTTGTCTTCACATGGGCTCCTACATTTCCCACAATGCAACCCAACCACTATCATCTTTGTTTGGGGAAATGCCCACATTTTTACCACTCCATTGCCTCAATCATCATCTGAACTCTTTTTGATCAAATTAAGGTCCTTACTAAAATGCTTCTACTCGAATCCAGCAGTGGTCACGTTGTCATGACGACGAGGCCCTTTCAGATATGGATGAAAGATCCAATAAGTGATCTTTTTTATGACAACTAGAGTGCGGGACCGATCTGATCTCATATCGGCATAGGGGTCTGATATTGACCTGATTTACATATCGGACTGACGGTGCCAATCCATTGTGCACGTCTCCATGACGACGTTCAGGAGAGATGGATCAGCTCCTTCTAAATGATCAAAAGTACAATTCTTACACTGCAGTTTGAAAGATTCATTTTAAACCTTACAGTAGGGATGTAACAATTCACTCAACTCATGATACGATTTATTTCACAAAATCAGACAAATGATGACTGAAAAAGATTCCTTTAGGGGCTTCTAACCCGCTTGGCCTTTTAATGTTTGTTTCCTCTCAACAAGGGGATGTGATTGGAGCTTCTCGTTGTGGTGTCCATTAAAAGCTGCATCATGTTGGTTAAGTTATTTGTGTAGTTCTCTGTCTTCTTGTCGTATTTACACACAGTTTTTGCCTCGTCTGTTATCTTCTCACCTCATTCATTTTATTTCTTGGGGAAGCCAAAATGCTTCTACACCTCTGATTTAAAAGACGATGCTGCGTCCTAATTTCTAAATCTTGCTCTGCAGCTGCTGACGCTCACCATATTATTAAGATTCATTTTTCAGAGTACCGATGTGAATCTACACACCTTTGGATCGATTTATCACAATTTTACAATTCATCTTTACATTCCTACCTTACAGCGGTTTCTGCTTCCTGTTTGTGTATGAAGCCAGCCCAAAGTTCAGACTCATTTATTTGGAATACTTTTTATTTTTATGCATTTTTATTTATAATTTTTTTGCACTTGAGATAAGAAATGCAAGTTTTACTACATCTTTGTGTCAGTGTTGGTATCTGTACATAAATATCGGAATCGGATCAGAACTAATAAAAAGTGGATCGGTGCATCTCTAATGACGAGAATGAGTTTTGATCCTCTACAGCTAATAAAAACATCCTGTTGGCTGGAAGTCGCTCCCTTAGTTCACACGTGAAGTCTGTGCAGTGCCCCTCTGGATGAGCCGCTCTGGATGAGCCCCCCCCTGTGTACTCTTTGAGGAGCTGGAGGTGCAGCCTGGTCCAGAGGACACTTGTTGTTGACATAAAGACCCAGCTGCTCCATGTGGACCTTTGCTTTGTTGGATTAGCTGAAGTCTGGATTTATTCCTGATGTGTTGTAATGACGTCATTGTGCACGTTGCTGGATTAGGCCTCCTCCTCCTCCTCGGGCACGGAGCCGCTTTGAGGCGAGTTCCTGCAATAAACCGCTCTTTGTTGTGGTGGGGAGTGAAGTTTTTTGGGAGCAGTTGGGAAAGTTTTTTCTTCTGTTGGTTGTAAGCGTCATAAAGCACTCAGGCGTTTAGTGAAATCTATTAAATCTGCCTAATAAATCTGACTTAATCTCAGCGATGTGAAGACGCTTTGTGCTCTAGTTAGCTGAGCGGGTGGACAAAGCTTGGTAACATCTCCCATGGCGACGGGAGGCTCTCTGGACTCACTGAGGTTTGGTGTATGTTGGAAAATGTGAACGTCTCAGCAGACACAGACTGTTTTAGTGTCTGACATGTCGGCCATGTGACTGACTTACAGACACAAACAAACCCATAACTGTCCTGACACCATTGGCTGCATGGGCGGGGAAATCAGACTGAACCGACCGCTCTCAAAGCGACACATCTCGGGGGACTTCTATGAATAGAAGAATAAGTGTTGCCTCCTGGTTTCTGGTTTCTAGTTATCTAGGCCAATTGTCAAACCTGGCTGTGAATAGAGCGGATGATTAGCCCTGAGCCTTTAAGGAGGCCAACTCTCTTATGGCTCTATTTTGCCATAATTAATTATCATCAGGACACTGACATGCCCGTGGCCACAGATGTCTGTGTGGCTCGGGTCTGAGTGTGTCGACTGTCTCATGCTTAATGTATCACTGTAAGATGGTAACGATGAAGACGTCTGCCAAAAGGGAAATAATAAACCGCAGCATTAGATTAATCATCACGTCTTGTTTTATTGTATTTCCCCCTGAATGAAGCAGGATGAGCAGTCAGGACGTTTCTGACATGTGGATGTCATGTTAATAAAAAAGGGTTTGTCTGAAGGTGATGAAGTGCGTCTGAATGTGCACCTCAGTGCAGAGGTCGGCCGTCCTTGCTGCCTCAGCAGGAGTCACACCGGTGCTCGCCCACAGTTAATTGCAGACTTGTGAATATTTCAGGTCCCTGGAGGAGGCCCAGACAGATGGATCGTTGTACCTGCATATCAACATCTGAGGTTTTGGTGGTTTTAGGAAGTGAAAGAATTTTGCCTCTCCCTTTTCCTGGACTAAATGTCGGCCTGCAGGAGGAAGTGCTGGCAGCTTTTATGGGCAGCGAGGTTGGCCCCTGAGTGTTTGAGTGTGTGTAGGTGTGTTTAAGTAAGACACCTTTTCCTCTGTGCAGTGTACTCACTGGGTAAAGTGGTCAGAAGCTGGCAGGCCATCAGTGCCAGGCCAGGAATGTCCAGCTGCTCTCCTAGTAAAATGTATGAATGGCCTTTTTGTTCCTGTGTGTTAGAAAACTGGACTTCAACATTGATTCCAAATGATGCAAAACCTCTCGCCGTACATTTTCCTCTACTCCGACTCAAACTAATGTTTCCATAGAAAATCTTAACAGAAGAAAAATGTTTGGCCTGTGCCCCCCCCCCCGCTCAGTGATCCTCCCTCGTGCTCGGCCTCAGCCCCTCCGGTCCTGCAGTCTCAGCTCCCCTCCCGGGTCCCTCTCAAAGGGCCCTCTTGTGCTCCTGGCTGGCAGGCCGAGTGTTTATGGAATGTCTCAGCTGCTTGTGGGGTGTGGGGGGGGGAAACAGCTGATGTAATGTGAAGTGTTGTATGAGTTCAGCTCTCGTACTACAGCCCTGACGCATGGGAGCTTGTTGGGTCACTGGAGTTTGTTTAAGACTCAAAATGTTCTCTTGTGAAGTCAGCAGGGCGG